AATTGATGAATATAAACTTCGTAAATAATAAACCAGATAAATACAGATGAAAATTTAGCAATACCTAGTTGCACAATTTAGGAAATGAGAAGCAAAAAATATTTACCCAGAATTTTTTCCTTCTTAATTATTTACTTAGATTACTAATTCTTTAGATTTCCAAAAAAAATGTGTTACATAAAATATATAATCCATTCTTCTAAAAGTTTCTAAACACCCTGTGACCAAAGTACTCCTTATTACCAAGTTATAAATTGAAAATAGTTATTAAAAAAAATCTGAGAAAAAAAAACATGATAAAACGTATCAAATTACAAAACGTTGTTAATTAAACAAATAAAAAAACTTAATATTTTTGGATTAAATGAACGATTTTTTTTAATTCAACGAAAATGGAACACCAATTTATTGAGAAACCAATTATTCAACTCTCAAATGTAACGTATAGGAAGTTACGTTTAGAATAATAGAGAACTTGTATGTCAGGCTCAACTAGAGTATTAACTAGAAGTTATATTTATTTATTTTAACAGTTACAAAAACCAAAATAAAATGAAAAACATAATCTCCAGAAAGTTAGCACTAATATTTAAAACTGTTCCGTGTATAAAAGATCCAATCACGTATTTGAGCTTTTAAGCATATTAAAATAGTTCAATACTTTCCATGTTCCGAAGCGATCAGAATAGCTTTAGCAATTCCGATAACGCCGAACCAAATTAGAAAACTTTGATTCTTTATATGAAAATATATCGTTTAATACGCACCGATTCGATTATAGCCCAGACTGTGCGCGTTTAAAATCGCGACATATCAGCATTTGTAAAACATAAACAATTTGAATTTTGAATCTGGTCAATTTACATAATTATGGAGACCTATTGTTTATTATTCATTTAGAAACAGAACGAATGCGGCTAGTCTACGGCATATAAAATAAAACAGGGTATTGTTGGTCTGAATCTTCTTAAAAGCTATTACATTTAATCCGGTTTCAGAATTATAAAACTCCATTATGGGTTTTATGATGACGGCAAAAATAATTTATGTACGTTTATTCATTAGACGTAATTTCTTCAAAATCGACGATAAATGGGATGCTGACGAGAGAACTTTCGAGATTTTTAAATATGAAAATCATTGAATATTATAGAAGTTCAATAGTCTGCAACCCAACCGTCCGGAATGTCTGATAGTCCGGCATCGTTTCGGAAAATTATGGTTTCCTCCAAAAATCAGAAGTTTTCGGAGAAGTTTGTTGGAAAGGCAAAAGTTGGAGGTTCTGAGTTCAAATTTTCGGCAACATTGAAAAATATTAAGTAATAAATTTAGAATTATGAATTGCAATTAAAATTGTGTATGTAAAATAATCAGAATGTATAAAAATTAGAGAATTAGAATTAAAGTGAATTGAAGTAAAGAAATGAGAAGATAGCAAAGAAGAAAAAAGAAGAATGAAGATAAGTTAAGAAGTATAGAAAGAATAGGATTATATGAAGAAGAAGATAGTATGAAATTAAAGATTGTATAGAATATATGATTGTATAGAATAATGTAGATGGCTAAATGCTCGAGTAAGCGAGGCCAATAAAATAAATAAAAAAAAGATTCAGCAGTTGTTGAAAGTGAATATAAGTAGTTTGATAGTTTGATAATTAACTGCCCGACCAACCTTTACCAAAAACCTATATATCTTTCTGTAACTATACGTTTCGAACAGTTTTTCAATTTTTAAAATCGGTTCAGGATTTCTAAATAATGCTTGAAAAAAAAGGAAAATGTCAATCACTTTTCTGTTTAATATTACAAAATTATTCACGGAATAGAATTGGATCGATTACAAGATACCATACAAATGTACGCTGATTGCCAAAAAAATTAAAATGATTATTACGATTTTTTTACTTATGGCATAAAATAATTCTGTTTTAGAGTAATTGTGTTATTATATCCCATTCTAAAACCAACATGATCCATATATTACATACCGAGTTTAGTCAGATTTTACAAAATAAACCTATTGCGTATAGAACATCAAAAACCGATTAAATTCATAAATCCGATTTTAATATTTTTTGTAGTTTAGTTTTGTGTATTACTGTACAAATATACAATTAATCAAACAATTGTATTTACATCGTGTATTGAAAGCTAGCGGCATTTTCCAATTCGATAAACAATTGATAAAAAAAAATCATATTAATTGAAATGTTAGTAATTTGGGTATGAAGTTCTTCAGGGCAGTACATCAAATAATAAATAATAATTTATACAATCTTCATTTTTCTTAAACATTTCGACATACTACCTTATGTGATTTTGTAAGAATATTCGATCAAAAATTATTTTTTTAAATTGACAAGAGTTATTAAAGTTGCGCTTATTGTGAATGTATCACAAACTAATTAGATTTACACCAGGTTAAAATTTACCACTGAAGATGGTATGTGGAAACATTTGAAAATAAAGATTCTATAAAGTACTTTCCTTTTTTTATTTGACGTAGTGCCCTAAAAAATTTCGTATATATAAAATATTTGTAATATCTTTCAGAAAAAATGGTAAATCATTGCAAAAAAATGTTTGACAACCGTTCTGTTTATTCTCCATGGGAGTGTATTTGTGCATTATCCATAATGTACTTCAGGAGAGTTTTAACACGGTACAGAGTAAAATTCAGTTAGTTTCCAAATTGATTATCCAAGTCACAATACGAATTGCAATTGAGACAAATCTTGTTAGTTTAAAGCAGTATGCAAATATTTACCTCTATTCAGGAAACGTCGTGAACACTGAATTATTTTATCACATTGTTAAAGAGCTGAGTAAATACTCTATTATTAAAATAACTATCTTTATAAACTAGTAAATGAATGTTTTAATTATGCAACAAGCTTATAGAATCTAAAATCGATGCTTTTGAGCAGCTGATTTTCGCATTATAAAGTAATAATGAAACTACGGTAGTGAGTAATTATATAATGATCAAAATACAAATAAAATTTCAGGTGAAAATAAAGGAGCCAAATCTTCGATAAAATAAAAATATTATGGCAACGCCATATTACGAGCCTATCTTCGTATGAACAGGTAGTAACAAACTGTCAAAAACCTATGTATTTGCTGTGAGAAAGATGCAGTAATGATGGAATTGTTATTTGACTTTGTGCGTTTTGTAGGTTAGGTTTAATGTGTAATACTCCTAATCGCACAGGAAATATATAGCTTTTTACTACCAGTTGTTACTACCAATGTATATGAAGATAGACCTGTAATATAACGTTAACATAACATTTCATTTTCTCGGAGAATAGGCTCCAAAATTTTAAGGGGCACAACTAGTGTGAAATTTTCAAAAAATCGAATTTTTATTTTTTCCATATTTCGATAGGTTATACCTTTAAAAATAACATACCAAAATTTTAAATCGATATCTTAAATAGTTTTTGAGTCACAGCCATTTAAAGAGTATATATAGTATAACGATCATTTTATCTTTAAACGCGTTTTTCTCAAAACAGCATTTTGCGAATTTGCTGCAGCGATTACTAAAAAAAAATGATCCGATCACTATCAATTTTTTTTACATGTTCTATATATAGTTCTCCGTAAAATGAACTATCAATTTTTTGATCGGATCAAAAATCGAATTTTGGCAGTCCAAAAACAACCATAATTTTGGATAAAATTCCACTTTTTTTAATTATTTGTCATTTTGTCAATTTTTGTTTTTTTTTTCTTTATCGTAGTTCATTTTACAGACAATATTATCTAGTTTATCGAGATTTTTTATTATATTTCATCCACGTAGAAGGCCGGAAACATTCCAGCAGTGAAGGGCTTTTTTTTCGCGCCGTTGGATATCGACGATAACTTAAAAAATACTTAATTTTTTTCTTCAAAAATTTTACTATGTATTTTTAAAACGTGTGAAAATATATTCTTAAAATTTTGAAATTATTGATAAAGTTTTTTTTTTTAATATAAACTCCCAAAAATCACCTTTTTTTAGGCGGTTACACCAGTTGTGCCCCTTAATAATACAATCTAATTCATGTATTGATGGTGAAGAATCTGCAGTAATAAATGGTAATGATGATGATAATGGTAATAAAAACGAAGCAGGATGAAAATACGGTAATGAATAATCAGGACTTACTACGAAATAAAGATTTAAAACGTCTTATCTAAAAATTATGTAATTTAAGCAATTAATAGTAGAAAGTGAAAAAAATCAGTCGGTACGCCAGAGTCGTAAAAAGCTACCAAAAAATTAAAATATTTTTAATGGCCTTTCATTGTTATCCATTATGAATATTGTCAATTAATTTTTATAATTTATCTTTTGTTTCATAAGTCGAGATCTGTTCAATACAATGTTCTAATTTACGTATTTTTAAAATAAAATAAATATTATAAGCTTATTGATACCTACAGAAGAGTAGAAGATGAGCAGTTAAAACTGATGATAATTTGTAAACTTAATAAAATGCTTAAGGGGCACAACTAGTGTGAAATTTTCAAAAAATCGAATTTTCAATGTTTTCATATTTCGATAGGTTATACCTTTAAAAATAACATACCAAAATTTTAAATCGATATCTTGAATAGTTTTTGAGTTACAGCCATTTAAAGAGTATATATATATATAGTATATAGTATAACGATCATTTAATCTTTAAACGCGTTTTTCTCGAAACATTTTCCGAATTTGCTGCAGCGATTACTAAAAAACAAATGATCCAATCACTACCAATTTTTTTTTACATGAACTATCGATTTTTTTGATCGGATCAAAAATCGAATTTTGGCAGTCCAAAAACGACCAAAATTTTGGGTACAATTCGACTTTTTTTAAAAAAACGCAGTCATTTCGTCAATTTTTGATTTGTACATGTATAAATATATTCCTAAAATTATGAAATGATTGATAAGTAGTTTTTTTTAATATAAATTCCCAAAAATCACCTTTTTTTGGGCGGTTACACTAATTGTGCCCCTTAATGAGTTATAACTCAATAATAATATCATATAAATCACTGAATTTTCAACCAAAATAAAAATAAATAGTACCAAGCAATGTTGTGACGGAATGCATATCTAGATCACATGCACACACACCTCGCACTAAAATTCGTGGCTTTTGAAACAAAAATTATACGAAATTTCATAACCAAAATAACTTCGAAAGTTGAGTTCCTGATATAACATTACTTCCTTACCTAGCACTTACGAATAATAATAAAATTTTATTAACATACATTTGGTGTAACGGGTAATCAAATATCATCAAATTTGCGGCCGAATGAAAGTATCAAAATGACAAGACTAATAGATAATTTTTGGCGATAAAGTTGATGCGACAAATTAAAAACTCTTCAATAAACCACAATTTCCTATCCTAATATTACCATTCATCCGAGTACTAAAAACGTAAATACAATCCTTAAAACGGTGATAGTGACTGGTTGTTGGCTGACAGCTAATGGTTATCACGTGATGAGTCTCGGCGCGTGCAGCCCGTGAACCTGGTGATCCAATGGCGGGCAATGGGTCGCTCCACCTGGACCCCAATCGTGCAGACCCTGGCTGTTGGCCAGACGGTGCGTCAGACGATGGGCTATCGAGAAACCTCCGCTGCCTTCGAGCTGCGTCAGCACGATGATCACTTGTCTGCGGGTCACAAGGTTAACGCAACTCCTTCATTTATATGAATGACGTACTTGGATATGCAAATTGCTTAAATATTATTCGCAAATGAACGTCGATAAAATTATTAAGAAATTAAGGCAATTGCACATATGCAAGAGAAAAAGCGATCATTACGACGATGTCCTCGAAATTTTATAAAAAGACAAAGGAGAACAAATTGGAATATGACAACATAGTCTGGAGAAAATTAGCTACAATTTAGATTAAAGGTGCTATGACTTTTTATACAAAAACAAAAAAGTGTCTCAAAAATATTGATGTCAAATAAAATCATTATTGAATTGTTAAAATATTGATTTTTAATTAAATTCGCTTAATTAGCAAAACTAAATTAAATCAAAATATTAATAACAGCATTTCAAGCACAACCATAAAATTGAATAAAGAAATATTTATGGAAAAGCTCTACATACCAAATTAAGGGGGTATTCTAGTGTAGAAATTCAAAAAAATCAATTTTTTTATTCCATATTTTCAAAGTTTAACTAAGAATATGGGTACGAGAAGATTTTTGAAAATTTGTATTATTTTCAGAGATATAGGCATTTTACTTACTCGGTCTCCATACTGATTTGGCTTCACGCAAACTTTAAATGCGTTTTTCTCAGAATAGACTTTTTCACTACTGTTGACACGATTTCTCAAGTTTTAATCGACCGATTCACTTGAAATGTTCAGAGAGTCTTGTTTATAGACCTATCTATAGCCCGAACTAGGATTATCCCCAAATTCCAATTTTTACTATTTTTAAAAAATTCGAGAAACTCAAAAAACAGTAAAAAGGACACTTTTTTCAAACAGTCGCCAATTTGTAAAAAAAAATGTTTACTCATCGCTAGTTTGGGCGATTGCGACATCGTTGTAGATTAATAATCTTTTTATTTTTTGCATTTCCGATGGCTAGGAGGGCTGAAATCATGTCAAGACTGAGGTGCCAATTTTTGGAGACCACCCACTTCATCAACTGCCAGTTTTTACAATTTTCAACTTTTTTATTTTTTAATTTTTATTTTGCATTTTAATAATATTAATAAACAAGTGGTAAAAAAATGGATAGTAAAAACACTCATGGCTTTCTTTTACGACACTTTAAAAATGACCTAAAATTCATCGCTATACACTAGAATACCCCCTTAAACATAAAGTACATTTCGTCCAAAACTAACAGTTTTAAAATGGTAATTCATTTACGAGTAGACGAATTAACTATTTATTGCTGCTATCTGAATTTTCGCAAGTTGATATAAAAATAAGTCCATTAATTTAATAAACATGAAATAAATTTAATCCTAAACCAAAAAAAAGTTTAAATAATTAGTCAATTTTTCTCAATTTTTTAATCAGAAAGTATAATGGGAAAATACTTATACGGGTTAGCAATGTATGTGCCATATTTATTTATTCACTTTATTACGAATTATTTATTTATTTGTAGTATATAAACTTTTGCAAGTTCGTATAAAAATAGTATATTAGTTTATTAAATATAAAATCAATTTTATCCAAAACAAAAGACACTCGTTTTTTTCTTAATATTTCATTCATGATCTCATTGTTTAACCGAGAGGTTTATGGTAATTCTTGTACCATAGTAAAAAGTATTTAATGGATAAATAACTCGCTTTTTTCTAATCTAATTCTTTGACCAAGAGACTATAATGAGGAAACAGACAGAATGGTAATTCTTGTACCATATTTATTTATTTTATTAAGAATTATTTATTTAATTGTACTATATAGATTTTTGCGAGTTTGACTAAAAAATAGTTCATTAATTTATTTATTAAATATAATTTCTTTCCAAAACTAAAAACATGGATAAATAACGCCTCGTTTTTTCTCATTTTTTCTCATTCATTCATTTACATTATTATGAACTATTTATTTATTTGTACTATATCAATTTTCAAAGATTGGTTTAGAAATAGACCATTATCAAACATACCAAATAAATTTTACCAGAATCCAAAGACGTGTATAAATAATTACTAGATTTTTCTCGATAACTTTTTTTTTAATGTGTGTGCATAGTTACTATGAAGAAAACAGTTGGAATAGTAATTTACTTTTTCATATAAATATCTGAACTCTTGTATAAAATTCATTGAATAAATAAAATAATATGCATCACTGGAGTTGTGATACAACGAATTGCACTATCAGTTTTCAGCTTCATTAAACTTTCTACGCAAAGCTATTGTAGTTCCAATTTTTTTCAAGTGCATCAAATTAGAAATCATACGTACATAAAGAAAGCGCGCAAATTTTTGAGAACAAAATTAAATTTTTCAAGTAAAATGATAAAAGTTGAATTAATTACCTTTGCAAAGGCGGCACAGAGTCAACAGTCTTGAGTTCGCCACGAGTAGAAACCACGTTGTAACTTTCTTGGCAATCACATTTTACATGAATCCATTTATTCTCGTGCCTATTTTCAACCATTACTACGAGACCAGCCCATCCCTGCAATAGACATAAAATATAGTTATAAAAAAAATCTAGTATACTTAATAAAGAAGCGCATTTACAAAGTACGATGATAATATTCGAACACGCGAAGTGTTTTATTTAATTAATTTATATGAATAATTAAACAAATGCAATAAAAGAATTGACTATTGTTGCTAATACGTTTTTGCATCAATTAAAATACAATATTTCATAATTATGTTAATATATTATATTTTTATTTATTATTAATATTTAAGATTGCGTAGATAACAACGTTATTCCTAGTAATTCACGTTCGATAATTTTCTGAATATTATTAAAACCACGTTAGGTGTTCATCAAGGTAAAATTGAGATTCACAAAATATTATTACCTTTGTGAGGTAGTATGCCGTCATTCCTTCTCGGCCTTCGTGTCTTTGGCCTTTGGCGAGAGTAAGGCTTATAATAGCGTCAGCCAGTACAAAAGGAGGCGGGGTAATTTGTTCCACCAGCAACCTCTTGGAACTGTGAATGGCAAGGACGCAACGTGGATAGTTCGAAGGATTCTCAATGCCAGTATGCCAATGGTTAAATGCTAAGCAAACCAGCATATACAAATCTCGCTCCAACATCTTGTGACAACCGACGAAGCCACGAACCTGGGAAACATTCAATAAGTAAGTCAAGTTAATTTTATAATCATTATAAGGTAATTATAAAATTATGTTAATCCTCACCTGGCGTTTGCTATGTTCAACAAGTCGTCCAACTTCCAGTTGAGCAGGCGACCGAATACGAAATACAACGACACATAAATCCAGTTGCGATCTTTGCGACTTTTCCGAATTCCTAGAAATTATATCAGTAATCATAAAAAAAATTCAACAACGTACAGTAAATATTATGGTTAAAACTATCAATTAATTGGTCGATTATTAAATTATGCAGTGTAAGCTACTTATTTGCGATTTTACTATTCGGGAATTTAAAAAATACCGTCAGTTCCTATATATGTGGCAAAAAGTTTCTTTATTCACAGATCTAATAACTAAACAATAAAAATAAAACACATAAAATGAATTAATAAAAAAAGTCAAAAAGAATATATTATAACATTACCTATAGCATATTGTTTAATTACATCGACAACGATGTTTTTGAAAATAGGTTCAAACCAGATATACCGAATAAAACAGTATAAAGTAACATTCAGAAATTGCTCAAAAAGATGATGGTTTGACTTAAACCAACTCAAAGAAAAGGTTAAATTAATTGCCTATTTAAGAAGAAGCTTCACAAAGCGTTAAAATTTGTGATAATTATTTAAATAGTTAGCAATTAATGCATGTTAATAATTTCGCTATAAATATTTATTCATAATAATTTATATTTTAGAAGCAAAAACATAACATGACTGCTGCGTTTCAGTTGAAATTAGAGGAGTTTTTAAGACTTTCAAAAAAAAAAAAGTACTTCAAGTAAGTGAAAAAATTTCAATTAAATTATTTCTTTTATATGTTTTTTTTATTTTATTGTATCATCTACGAGCGTATCAACTAAAATTATAGGTAACCTATATCATATATAAATTGTATGAGATCATAATCCCATAGAAATGATTAGGTAATACCGTTCATGGTTTCAGTATTCCTAGCATATTTATGAAACATATCACACACCGAATAAGAAGCTTTTGCTATATTTTTAATAATTATAGATTATTAAAACTATTATAGTTGATATAAAATATAACGTTAATTATTAGTAAATCATGATAAGCATTATTTTGAAACGTTCAAAATATATATAATAAATATTTTGAATTTACCTTTGACCTTCTTGGAAAAGTGTGAATTCTGATTCAGTTGGTTCTAGAACAGTCAGCAAAACACAAGAAATATGATTCAATGAACATAATGGAGGTAGAGTGCCGCGTAAACGGACTTCATTCCAGCCCGAACGCACTTTGCAAATATCTATGCAATCGAAGTATCTGAAAAAGAGTGGAAAATCAAATTACAAAGTATTTTGAGAGATATAATTCTCATAAAATTGTAAAATTAATGCATGATCCTTATTATAGTATTTAGAAATCTGTTAAAATTATCAATTTAAAATGGAGTTGTAAAAATAAAGATTTGACGATAGAATGAACAAGATTCGCGTTAACCATATCAAAATATTCATACAGAAAGATGTCTGTTTTATATAATTATGAATTATTAGAATTAATTAACAAAATATTATTATAATCTACATATAACTCACTTTAGCACATCCTCGAAAGATATCCAGAACACACCATCCGACGCGCCATGAGGCATTAACGACGCTCTTAATTCAGGCGTCCAGAGCGGCGAATCATCAGACCAGTCCCCGCGCCAACTGTAATGACCCCATGGGTTGCGCAAACGAAGCAGCCTAGCCTGGTTCACATCACGTACGTCCAGAACAGAGTACGCGTGACGTGGACGCAGACCTTTGCGTTGGTATTCCTCTTCGTCAACCTATCGTAAATTACCATTGAGTACATATTATCAAAATAATTTATTGCATCTTTTTCTCATCATACATACCTTCATATTACCGCCGCCACAAGAAGCGCCCATAAGGAACATTGCAAGTCTAGAAGACAACAACTGCGCCCAAATGAGATCTTTATCCAACTCATCTTCACTAGGTGTAGGAAGAGATGTTGGCTGTAAAGGAATACTTTCACAAGGTGCTCCTGTTAATGTAGCAAGACCTTCGATAGCACGACCTGAGACTAAAGCTTCAAAACATCCATGTATTTTAGCCACAGCCTTTTCAATCAAAGGTACCCACAATTGTTTCCGCTTTGCCTAAATAACAATTGTTATTAAGTATTGATGTGAATCAATGGATGTCTGAAAAATGTTTTCATCAACAATCAAATATTTTTTACCTGTGAATAAACAAGATGACCTCGTTTGTCGCAAGGCAATAAATCATCTACAAGAACTGTAGTCCATCTACCATCTTTACAAAGTCGTACTTGGTACGCACCTTGGGGACAGAACTCTTTTGTTACAAGAACTTCTCTCACCAAATCATCGCGTTCTGCAAGCACAGCTAATGCACTCAATAGCCAACAGTTGCCCAAAACACCTTTGAAGGATATTAATGAAAATAATAATAAACTATTATAATAATAATAAAATATTATTATTTATAATTACCTTGAGAAATATCTGATGGCAATGGTTTACGGAAAACAACCCAATTGAGCCCAGAATGATCACTTGCAATTTCATGAGGTCTTCTCCATTGGACAACATGATTATCCCTCACTTCATTTGCATTGTAATACAAAGACTTAGTTGCAGGTGGAAATGAATCATCCACAAATTGTTCATTATTCTGAAAATAATTTGTAAAACAAGGGGCTCTTAATTTCAAATAAAAATATCAAACTCACCCCTATACAATATCTTATAATACGTTCCCATTTGGGTAGTGCTTGTTCTTCTTCAATCTGCCTTAAATTTTCCATTAATTTACTTTCTTGCCGAATAAGACCACTTGGAATAACTTGAGATGATTCACCCTTATCTTGTAATAATTCAACTTCCATATTATTGGTGGTTCTTGAGCATTGGCACATCTCACAAGCAACAGATGCCATATTATTTTCATATGTGCATTGTGGACATTGCCAACCAGATTTATGAGCAATAGAACTCTATAATTTTAAAGTAATTAAAATTTCGTTGAAGGTATATGTAATTATTAATTGAAAACCATACCGATGGAAAACTGCTTTGGCTGCTATAAGAGGCAATGTGGTTTGAAGAATGAGATGTTTGTACTGGTGATGTTTCTTGTTGAGCGGGTTCATTATTGGCCATGTTTAAATGCCTTGAATATCGGTTTCTGTTTTGATTATGAGACATCACTCCTGTACTATGTCTCTATAAAAAAAAAAAAAGGATTTTTATGAGGCGAGAAGTCGACTTTTGAGTACAGCTACTACCACCTAACTTCACTCATAAGAAAATTAACTAAATTTGGATTTAACAAATTAACTCTCTATCTGTTATGCATAAATTTCTATTATCATATTTCATACAGTAACCAGTTTTTAGGAATATCAAACCATTTGAAACATGAATTTATTTCAAAAAAGCTAGTCAAATAATTTTCTGACTGCCTTCTAGAACATTGTGTCGTAGTATGTTCGTAAAACATAAAAATTTTATATGTTTGAAATATTAATGAATATAGATAATTAAATTTTAATAAACAGTATCGAGTATTTACCTGTTACTTGCGCAACCAATAATAATTTAATTAAAAAAAAAACAAATTAATAATTTACAAAATTACCAATAATAATTTACAAAATAAAAATAGATAATTGTCTGATGAATCCATGGATGTTGTAATAAGTAAACACTATTTTAGAAAAAATTAGTGAATCAAAAATTGAGATACATTTCTTTTACATGCGAAATAAATTTCTTTGCAGTATTTGATTATAGTCCCAAAAAATTTTTAGATTTTAATTTGTAAATTAGGAGACTAGTTATAAAAGTAATTTTTCAATTGGAGGCAAATAGATTGATTAATTACTATGAATTAATGGAACACCACGAAACACGGATATGGCATATTATATTAGACTATATATATATATATATATATATATATATATATATATATATATATATATATATATATATATATATATATATATTACATAAATTACTCTAAGTGTGTTATACAAAAATATGTATATTAAAAAAAAATCCTATATAAAATAATAGAATTTAAAAATTATATAAAAAATCATTTTATATAATAAACAATTTTTTGATTTTAGTTGTACAACCTTGCTTCCGGTTTTTACCAAAGTTCAAAGATTTAATCACTCACATTGTAAAACGACAAAACCAAATTAGTGAACCTAATATAACAAAAAGATATATTATATACAATGATCTTTTACGGTGGCCTATAGACAAGTATATATTCATGTCTTCCTATGGGTCATCACACAAATAAATACATTGTTTTCAAAGTACCACCACCCTAATACTAGTATTACCCTAATTTTCCGAATGCTAGTAGTTTTTCTTCATTTTTTTACCTTTGGGATTGCACCAGAGCTTGACGAGCCGTGTCTAGGAGACGGGCTACGTGCCATCCGCGGGTTGTGCGGAACAGCCAGGGCCTGGTTACTCTGCACTACTTGCGGCTGCTGGTTCAGTTGCTGTTGAGGTAAAGGACGCTGAGGCGCCGCGCTCTCAGGTAATTCGCAACCTCTCTTCACCGTCTTGCAGGCGAGGCACGTCATTGTCGACAGAGGATTTTTGAGTGTGCATTGAAAACACGACCTAAAAATATTAATAGCAATTAGCAAAATATAATAAAATTTATTTTTAACAGTGATATGCTCACAGATTTTTTTTTAATAAGAACCAATGTGAATTGAAGTAGATAAATGTGAGGATAACAATCAATAGTCATGACTTTAATAAAATGTGTAATCACAGTTTTTAAGAATTCATCTTTATATTGAATATATCTTAAAAAATATTTTTAACTTCCTGAAAATTTTTGCATATCTTCACGTTTTGAAGGTTTCTGAACATTTTGGCATACCTTAGAAAAAATGAATGTATGTGTATGTGTGTGTGAGTGTGCGTATGTTTGGATACAATTTTTCGTCCACGATTTCGGGCGCAAGAATCAACCGATTTGAATAATTCAAAAAACATTTGATTCCTATAGACGAGAATACGTGCTGATTAGTTTTGGTAAAGACAGGTTTAGTCGTTTCGAAGATACGGGTCAAAAAGTGCCGAAAACGGTAATTCAGTTTTTGAGAGAACCAAGCACCCGATTCGAATGATACAAAAAACTAAAATTATTTGTATTGACGAAACGATGAATTGGTTAAATTATTGGGTAGACAGGTCTAGCGGTTTCGGAGATACAGAGATAAAATTAAAAAAAAATGATATTTGGCGGTCTAAAATGATCATTAGACGTATTCACATCAAACGATCAGATATTTTAATAATAAAAACAAATTTTGTTACAATTTTTGGGGTTCCGCACCAAGATTTTTAATTTTTAAAGTTCCCTTATTTTACGGTTCAAACAAATTTCAAAATCTTCTGAAAATTTGTTTTTTCAAAATTTTCAAAAATATACAAAGTTTTACTTTACTTTTTACTTTTGATATAAATTTTAAATTTATAATTCAGTTTAAAACTGTATATATTTTACATGCGTTAATCTAATCGTAAGAAATCTATCCTCAGCATATATCATTCAGCATTCTTTCTTAATGTAAACATTTTCAAATGTTTCGTGTGATAAGATCGTCACTGTGTATTATATAAACGAATAAATATATACTTATTAAAATTATCTATTTGAAAACATTCAAAACAATTGTTATTAATCATTGATCAAAGTTTATGGAATATTAATTTTTTGCTCGAATATTTAATTGTGGTACGAAAAGTTCCAGCAATTTACCTTAAGGCACGATGCCATGCACATCTAGTATTTTTGGTACGGAAAGTTTCAGCAATTTGCCTTAAGGCACGATGCCATGAACCACTAGTTACAATTGCTGTTAAATATATTTAAATAAAATATTGAATTTTATAAATATTGAAAGGTCTAAATTTAACAAACGCAAATAAACGCTGATCATTTTTTCAAACTTTGATGAATTTTTAAAATTAATCGACTTGTTGTAGAGCCGTAATATTTTAGTATGTTCTTCAAGACAATGATCTCTATGATCAAAAAAAGTTTCACAAAAATTGTCAAATTTTTTTAATCCGATATTAAAAAGAACTAATCAGTATGATTCCCAACCAATATTTCGAACGATTTTGATTTGTGGTCAAAAAATGTTACACCTTTTTGCTAACTATCATCATGCAAAAATTTATAAACTAAATTCTCACCGAGTTACTTTATGGCTTTTGAATTTTTAAAATCGGTTAGACCGTCTTTAAAACCGTCGACGCAAAGTCAAAAATCTACTCACATACAAACACATACTTTTACCAAATTTGGTCTCATTCGATTTAGAATTGCTTGAAACGTCGAGAAAACATGAAATTAGCAAATTGGATTCTCTCGCGCAAACAAAAACTTCTTCAGGATGTTAAAAACAAAAAAATCATAGAACTCTACATACAATCATAGAATTGTGCAAAGAAGAAAATTGGCAGTTAAGTCAGCATCTGTTTGCAGTAAAAGTCGAAATTTAGATTAGATTTTGAAAAATTCAAATTTAAATGATGCGAATAATTTACGCGAAATCATTGTTTACTGTATTCTCATTAAAAGTCACACACATGTGACAAGTGCTGAGTGTGAATTTAACTAAAGAGAAATAATATATTGACAATTATAGTAGTAGTATTATTTAAAAAAATGCAAGAAAATTGATTCTGAAACTATCAAGAGAAGAGGATACTAATGGGGCTTTTGAAAATATAATTTTTATAAGGAAAGATGTATTGCCAGGATACATAACCTAGATTAACAAATTGACCTAATAACAATTTGTCCAGGATTTATTGGAAGGAACAAATACATAACCTAAAATAAGCAAGTGTGATGCCAAAGGCGTTTTAAGTTAATTATGAAAAAGTGCGACCTCAAAGCCTTAGTAATAAAAATGATTATGTAATGAAATTATCAATTGGATTGGCTTTAAAGAACAGCGGAATAAGGCGGAAACGTCCAAATAAGGTGTGTTTCAACCTTATCAGTATTGAATAGTGAGGAAGTATAAAAATCAGTTAAGCTATGCAGTCTACGTCCCATGAACACCTCATTCAAAAATTTGGTTACAACATCACTAGCGCTTGTATTGATTCACTGATGGGCTCAAATTGGTTAAATGATAATGTTATAAACTTCTATATGAAGCTATTAACACAAAGAGGAGCTGAACCAGGAAATCTGAAGGTGCACGCCATGGAAACCTTTTTTCTATTAAATCTTAGAACTCGTGGTTACAGTTCCGTTCGTAGATGGACTAGGAAAGTGGATATATTCTCTTTCAGCTTAATGCTTATTCCAGTTCATGTCAATGGAAATCATTGGTGCATGGTAATTATTGATTTCCGAGATAACACAATAAAGTATTATGACAGCATGGGTGGTCCCAATAAAGGTGTTCTCGATATAGTTGAGAGTTATTTAAAACAGGAGTCATGGGATAAAAAGAAGGTAATACTGGATACTAGCAAATGGAAGAAAGAAACAGTAAAGGATATACCTCAACAAATGAATGGTTATGATTGCGGAGTTTTTGCTTGCATGTTTGCAGAGTACATATGTAGAGGTGAAAAACTAATTTTCAATCAGAAGTCGATGCAATACTTTAGAAGAAAAATGTGCATCGAAATAGTGAATGGAAGTTTATTAACATAATGTATGCATATGTATAAAATTGCTGCACATTTTTCTTCTAGAGTGTTTCATCGACTTATTGCATCGTACTTATTGCATGTGTATAAAAATATTATTATTCGAATGTATTGTTATTCTCTAGGAGAATAAGTAGTATTTAATATTAGACTTTAGATTTATATAATTTTTTACAATAGATTATTATTATGTAATTTTTAAAAACCCTTGAAAGTCAGTATATAGTATGTATATAGTATGTATTATGATGTGAATTGTTGTTAGTATCTATTTCTATATTTGCTTGATAAAAACACAATTATGTACAATAATTTAACAATCTTGTAGAGAATATGAAGACTGAAGCGGCTAATTTTCATTAATTCAATCATTATTTTAGTGAATAAACCATAAATCATAAAAAAACATATAAAATGCTATAGACTGGTCAGAATTTGACCAAGTCATAGTGATCATATCAATTAATCAGTTCATCATATTATATTTTATTACAAATATAATAAGTCTTGATAATTTAATACTCGGACTTGTGGTCCAAGAAAATTAGTACACCACTGAATTTTGTCAGAGATGTTTTATGATTTATTAAAATAGTGCAATCCATCAAAATTGGTTTCTTACTCATTAATTCCTCTTCTTGCAGATATAATAATATTTATATTTCATTAAATTGCTACTAAAATAAAAAAAAAAAATCTGAGGGACGCTGGAAAATACTTTTTATGGAAATGGAAGCTTTAGTTGAAATAAGATTGGGAATGATTGCTTTAAACCACGCACACACATACATACTGTGTGTATATGTGTTTCTTACCAAAATTCCCCTTTCCTCAAAGTCATATCTTCCACAGTAGTAATACTTCGAAGCTTTGAGCCTCCACAAACAACACAGGCAATGGCTACACCAGAATTAACAAGAGTACATTTTTTGCAGGTCCAAGTTTTATCTGATCCATCATTTTCAACTATAATGAAAAATCTCTAAATCTTAAAGTTCATTAAGCAAATGCAACTTAACTTTAAGAACTCAATAATTATCATACCAGTCAAATCCTCATCTTGCTCGAAAGTTGCTATTGGTACATCGTTAGTAGCTGTATTGCCATTTGCAATATCACCCTCATTCATTTTACCAGGTACATACCTAACACTATCCCTGGAAGATTATTTTCATTAGGTTCCAGTTATGGTGTATAGAATTTATAAAACGAGGTGCAAAAGCATTACCTATTTAGAACAGTAATAATGTTGTCTACTTGTCCATCTTTAACAGTAATCAGACTTGGCTGTGTGAGTGATGGCTGAGATCTAGCTAATTTACAAATATCACAGTTTTCTCTCCACAGGGGGTTATAGGCGAATGAACATTTTGTGCAGGTCCACATTCTTTTATCAATTACTACTTCGCTTTTATCCATTGAACTGAAATAAGTGATAGACATAAAAAAATATTGCAAATAAATATTATCAACTTCCCGTTGATCCGTATTCTCGAAATCGTCGACGAAAATTTGTATCCGCACACACACACACACCGACACATACATCCATTTTTTCTAAGGTATGCCAAAATGATCAGAAACCTCTGAAACGTAAAGATTAGGGTTTGTCGGTTTTCAAAAACCGGTTTTAAAAACCGGTTTTTTGGCAAAAATTATGGAATTCAAAAACCGGTTTTTTTATCGAAAAAAGTCGGTTTTTACTGTATATGTAGAAAAAGACAAATATAACCAAATATAAAATATAGATAAAAGCGTTTTGATCCTTGAAATCATATTGGTTCAATAGGATTTCATATCTTATCAGTCTGCAATTGTTTCCAGAAAGGTTTTGTATATATTAATTTAGATTTTTATACCAGTGTATATATTAATTTAAATCAGTGTGACTTCTTCTTGAAGAAGTGACTTCCTCTACTCTAACTTAAAAAAAAGAGTTTTAAACCCTAGAAGCCACAAAGAACAAAAAACTTAGAATTATTATACCTGGCTTTAAAAACAATTAAGCATAATTTGATCGCAAGTATGAGAGTATTTTCTATTTCAGGAAATTTTGTGAGTAAACAAAGAACACGTCTAAGTAGCAATTCGATAAACGTTCTCATTTTTTTGAAATCATATTTTATTAAACAAAAAAAAAACAATTAGAATATTTAAATTAATTAAAATTTCTTGGAACAGACAATACCCGAGTTTAGCTTAATTGTTTTTAAAACTATAATTGATATTAACAAGTATGTAACAGCAATTTATTTTATATATATATATATATTTATTTATTAACAAGTATGTATCTAATATTTTTTTATTTTATTTTAATCTAATAATTTTTTTTATTTAATATTTATTATTATTTATTCGAAAAATTTCCTTTCACTATCATTTCATTCTTATGTGAAAATGACGCATGAATAACGAATAATTATTTTCAAAGTTATTTAATCAAGATAAACTATTATTTTTTAGTTCTACTAATTAAAATTAAAATAACTTTGTTTACTATCCATAAAATTGAACAATAAATAAATTCAGTCAAATACTGCTCTGAATTACACAAAATTACAGAAATTTTGGCAAAATTTATTTTTTATATAAAATTCGAAAACCGGTTAAAACCGGTTTTTTAGTAAAATTAAAATTCGAAAACCGGTTTTCTGAAATGTCGGTTTTTGTATAAACCCTAGTAAAGATATATAAAAATTTTCATTTGCGATTACTATAACTTGCCCTATGGAAAGTTAATAAACAGTTGAATATTTTACCTAAATAGCTGAATGGAAATCAGTGCAATTTGCCGTAAGGCATAATGCTACTTACAACTAGTTTATAATGTTACCAATATTACAGCAATAAAAACAATTAAAAGAATTAGGAATATTACGTAAATTGCATAGTAATTTTTATACTTACTTAGTTTTAAAGACACTTTCAATAGGTTCAGTCATTTGTGATTTTTTCCTTGGAATATTTTTAACTCTACAGTCGTCGGCCGCATTGACCCGAAAATAATTTGTTATTTGGCTAGTGTTTGCATCATTATGATTTGATGATGAAGCGTTACTTTCATTTCCAATGGAAGGATCACATGCGCATAGCATGAGCTGAGCCTTATTTTCTTCTGCTGAACTTTTAGTGCATTCTTTCAGATTTGTCGACGAATCAGTTTCCGCACTACCAATAAAAGAAGTTCGAATTTTAACATTGTGCTGTGGTAATTTGGTTTGTTTGTGCTTTAGTTTATTTGGAATTGCATATATTGGTTCAGGCTTATCTACTGCATTATTATTTGGTATATTTGGCAAACTCGGCAAATTCTTTCTGTAAGTTGAATCGTCGGGAAAAATTTGGCGGTTTGGTAGATTAAAATTATTCTTTGCACATGCTGAATTTTGATAAACATGTTCATGAGTAACGAATTTATTATTAGTCCCAGGTCTAACCTGCGGCGACAAAGGCAACACAATGCTAGGTGACTTTTGTACACCTGGACTAGTGATAGAAGCAATGTCTTCCAAACTGATGTGATCGCGAGAAAAAGGATTACCTGAGTTACTAGATAATTTTTTACAAGGTGTCGCTTCGGGTTGAGCCCAGTCGTGAACCGTTACCATGACGCCACCATTGTGAGGAATATTGCTACTAGTGCCTTCTCGCGAGAATCGAGATCTATCTAATGTAGCAATCGACATTCTTTTATTAACTATCCAAGAACCATATTTGCGTGGTGCTTCACAAACTTCACAAACATTTCGACTGTGAGAATTCTGTAAGGTGCATTTGTGACAAACCCATGAAGTATACCCTGCGTCCATCTGTTTATTACAATCTTTTTCTATCTTATATTTAGTTATTGGCAATCTAAAATCTTGGTCTTTGATATTACTTGTGGTATGTGTTTCATTGTGAGTTAAAAGCAAGCTCGAAGGGCGCACAGGATCCCCGAGTAAATTTGACAATGCTAAGTTTTTTATTTTACTATCAATTTCAGGTTCATTCACAACTGAACCATTGGAATAAGATCGGATAACTTTTGATTGATGAGGTATTTTTTTAGGTGATTCTGGCAATTTATTCCGTAAATCATTCCTACTTTCAACGTCGTATGTCGACAAAGAATGTTGGAGCGGTGGCAGCTGTACAAATCCATGATTCGATACATTAATTTCACCATTAGAAGTCAGACTTGTTGCGTATAGACTAGAAGGATTGATGATGAGCGATTCATCGGGTGTACAAATTTGGCTAAATCTACTACAACCATGACACAACTGTGAACAATATGAATATTTGCATGCCTTTACCATTATCAAACATTTAGAACATCTGACATTGGAATGCTGGCAACTAGTACATTGGTCTATGATACTGCCACATTGGCATTCATTAGGTGGAGTTACTTTGTAAACGGGAGCATGGATGCTCACATGGTCACATACCGTGCACTTCCAAGTTACTGATTTATTAATTAAATTGCATTTTTGGCATCTCCAACTATGATTAAGACTTGGAGCACTTTGACAACGAGGAATACTATTGTTGGATTTGTTTGTTGAAGAAGGCCATGTTGCTCTGGTCAGATTTTCTCCTACAGATTCAATGAATTTTGCGCATTTTTTACATGATACTCGTCCATAGCTGTAAAGATATAAAGAAATATTAACAATTGTAGTATGTGAAGGAAATAAACTGAAAATAAATAATAAAGAAACTTAATAGAGGAATTTGAAACACAATTTAGTACACAAAACGATGTATTGTCTTGTAATAACAAAAAAAAATTAGATTAATAATTAATAATTATTTCGAAACAAATGTCCCTGCAATATAATATTAACTCTAAAACTAGCATTTAACGTCAAGCAGAATACTATACACATGAAAACTAAAAGATCAATTATTTTAAGTTATTTATTTCATTTATTTTAAGAGTTTCTTATTTTGTTCATATTTATTGTATTTTGTGCACTGCACATAGAAAATGTATCTGTTACTAGTAATTTATATTATAATCCTAATCAGAAGAAAAAATATCTGTGAGAGAACCAAAATCTGCCTGGTGTCATTTATGAAAACTTATTAGTTCAAGGACAAACTTGAATATAATACATTTAGCTACATATAAAATTGGAATATTACTAACAAAGCCGATAACATGTGACTTATCCTCTACAAATAAGGTTTTTGGCAATTTTGAAAACAAAGTGAATTTGGAATGCATTTAAATGGTATATATGTTACAAAGTATTATGAGTAAAAAGTGTTATCTTTGAAAGAACACTCTTTATTAAATGGCACTAAAGTTACAAATGTTTCGTGACTATGGTTTTGTGGTAAATATAGAAAAAGAAATCAATGAAAAATAGTGAAAAAAGAGTATAGTGTAATGAAAGAAAATATATTATTTATAATAAGCAAGACAACCATAAAAATCAGATCGATTAAAATTAATACTGTATAAGATATTACACAGCAATCGTGATGCATGTAATTGTAATATTACTTACAAAGCCGATAACATGTGACTTATCCTTTACAAATAATATTTAGGTTTCTGGCAGTTTTAATAATAAATTGAATTTGGAATGCATTTAAATGATATATATGTTAAAAAGTGTTACCTTTGAAAGTACACTCTTCATTAAATGGCACTAAAGTTACAAATGTTTCATGACTATGGTGGTAAATGTAGAAAATCATGACTATTGTGGTAAATGTAGAAAAACAAATCTACACAGTGTAGTGTAATGCAAGACAATTTGACTGCTAAAACCAGTTCTATTAAAATTAATATTGTATAAAATATTACACAGCAACCGTAGACTTAGAAAAAGTGTTTAATATAGCTATCGCTGCTAAAAATTTGTTTTTTCATTTTGTCAATTGAAGGGATCCAAAATAGGAGCAAGAAATTAGGTATTTTGCTATAGAATGGCTTTAGGAAAAAAATGATCAATTTGTTACAGCTTGGATTGAATTTGTTAAATGCTAAATGATATGACATACTCATTTTTATTAAGGCAATGATTGTAACGTGCAGCATTATCATCCTTCTCCTTTTCTATAAGTTTAATATTAGTATCAGTCACGTCTCTAGTTTGTTTATAAATTCTATCACTGTCATGAGTGCTTAATGATTTCCTTGGTATTCCACATTTCACACACTTTAAGCTTTCTGTCGGGTTTATGGAACTACACTCTGTACAGTACCATTGTAAAACAGAAGCAATAGAACCCATATTATTTCATACATGGCTAAACTACCTAAAATTTATGTAATTGAAAACTCTAAATCAAGATTTACACTGTGTTTGCTGACAAACAGCTGATCCACCATATTGATGGTGTTGCCATGTTCGACATTTTCTTTGTTTATGAAATGCCAAAAAAGCTTAAAAGCTCAGGACATACTTCAGGTCAGATAATTAAGCTCTAATTAGTTCTCAAGTTTTCAATATCTTTATCAGCAATTAAACAATATCGTTTGTAATTAAAATACATATTATCTCAATTTATCATTATAAGTATAAAACATTATATTTTGTTGACAATACTAATGCAATTATAAACATTGTAATCTTTACGACGCAATTTGCATTATTACAACAGCAACTTTATTACACTGTCACTTGGTGCGCTTGAGGCGATCCTGACGTGGTAATGGGGAAACAAAATGCTCGCGCGCAATTTAAAATTTGCACTCACAACAGTTTCATTTTATTTTGCTAGTTTATTTAAAAATATTTGGATTTTTAAGTGGAATGCTGCCAATTGCTTTTAAATTGCATGAATTCTCTATATGTTCTCTATACTTTAATAAGAAAGAAAGAGAAGAGTTAAATTGGGTAAATATTTGGAAAAATATTAGAAATAAAAACATTCCAATAGACTGGTAAAGTTAAAATTATAAAATTGTAAATGAATGTGTTGACTCAATAATGTGTATGAAATGTTTGAAAGAGAATAATATTGAAAACCACATAACTGAATGTGGAAAAGAAGGTCTGTGATTGGTTAAAAAACAAATTTGCAAAGATCAGCAATGGGCAAATAGAAGATGACAACAATATTTAACATAATATTGCATAATAATTTGTAGATTGATATCAATTGAGTATTATTATAAAATGGGGGCGCGTCAATTTTTCTTATTAGAACGAGGAGGCGCGAGGCAAAAAAGGTTAAAAACCACATTTAATACTTAAATGCACTAATAATCATCATTTACTAATTAATTAATCCAAGAGGCTATTTCAAACAATTACTACAAGTACATCTCAACAAACAGCATTTAAAATTTGGGTTTGTGCCTAATAAGAAAATTTTATCTACTAACACAACAGAATTGTTTGATCTTTGAACAGAGTTGATGAATTATCAATTCATTTACAATTGTAGCCAATTATCATTTAATCATTAAATCTTGTGAACAAATATTTGCAACCTAGAAGAACACTAGTTGCATCATAACAATCGTGACAGAAGAACTAAGACCGAAGAACTAAATTACACCACGTGTATCCAATAAAATATTTCGAGGCTGTATAATCAAAATGTATGTATATAAAATTGTATAACACGTGCTACCACCTGTAGACTCAGTTTCTTATAAAACATATTTACATATCTTCTAACGAAACCATTAATGATAACGACGAACTTTTCAAACCAAAGATAAAATAATATAAATATTTATTTATTTTAGTCACCACTCGATAAGTTAATATATGGGCTTTTATAAGTTTTCACTCCATAAGTTTAGATAAAAATTTACTATTTATCATCTCATGTAAAAAATATAAAAATCTAAATGAATCAATACACATGCACATGCTAGATTGATGCAGAATTCTTAGTAAACAATTTTTTTTTTACATAATTAAATTTTATTATCTATATTTATATGTGTACAATTTGATTTAATCTATCATCATATAATTTATATTTAAAATTTAACATGCCATCTACACTATTTTGGTAGATGTATAAAAAGTGTAAATGCATTTATTTTTACGGCGAATATCCTTATATATGTGTACAAATACATATCTTAATTATTAAAATATTTTATACAAAACATACTTTAACCTAATAACATATCCTCCACTATCTCCATTATCAATTAAAACCTATTATTTAATTTATAGTTATTACAACATTCAAAGGCGCATTCAATAAACATTACAAAAATAATGCCGAGTACATAGTTGATAATATTGAATGCGTTTCAGTATTAAAAAATATATAATTTATAAATTTAATTTAGTTCTTATGACAAATGATTTAAAAAAATGATTTACCAAATTGTTATTGGTGATTGTTCTATGCACTTTGGATAGATCAGTTAGTGATCACGATGTTAGCGCATTAAAAAGTCGTCGAATTGCTCTTATTAAATATTTTTTTGTATAAAATTTTTGAATGATGAATGAACACAAATTTTGGAAACGATGTTAAAGCCTCTTCCGCGTTCCAAAAGAGTTTTCTGTGTTATTCAATATAGCTTCCTTATTGTTGGCTTCGTGGACTGCCGTCGAATTGCTTTGGTACTTTTCGGCATTTAATTTCATCGCCTGCAAGAGGAACATTATGATTAAAATTGAACGAAAACTAATTGAAAATTGATCATTGTAATGTTCTTTTAGCAGAAACATTGAGAATTGAGTGTTGGTCTAGTAACTCATTTGGGTGATCAACGATTTTTGATACATGAGATAGAAACAGTACTATTTGTTATGACTCTATTGTTGTGATCTTTCTCACTGAATGGAACTTTGTCAAGAAAAATTGTTTTTTATATACAATGATTATTATGATTGATGGAAAAACTTACTTCTCTTCTTTCTTTCTTGTTGTAAGTCTGTTTGTAGAAATCAGAGAATAGGAAGTAGAACATGACTGCATGCATGCCGATCCACCAGACGAAGGCACGTGGGTAATTACATTCAATGAACAACAGCTGGAAGGCGTGGATCATAACCAGGACGAATTGTACCTGAAACAACATTATTTTTTTAGTCATATGATTCTCGGCACTTAAATAATTTAACTGAGCCAATCGTGGTAAAGAATGTATACTTATGATACACTTATACTTATAAATGTATACTATGAAACACTAGTCTCGGGTTTGATACCAATATCGGCCAACTTGATTTCAAGCAGTATGACACCAAATTTCCACTTAAGATTGGAAGCCTGATGAATTTTTATTAATACGGTAAGCCTATTTTCATTTTGCAACCGATGTCGCTCCTGCTTGACATCAGGTTGTCCGAAGCGGGTATCAAACCTCGTATCTCTGATTCGAAGTTCATGACTCTAATCTAATTTATGTTTTAATTCTAAAATCTTATTCTACAATTTCAAAATCGACGAAGTTACGCATCAAGTAACATCGGCGTAGTATAATTATGTAATAACGCAAGATTATATCATTAAAGTTTAATTAAATAGAAGATAACATCAAGTAAAATAATGGATATAGAATCTGCAGATGATCTCAAATGCGTTTGTTTAATAGCTTGATCTAATAGTTGTTTTAGCGTTAAAATAAAACTTACAAATTTGGCATGATATTGTAAACGACCTATGGAATACTACATCACGGTAAAATGGTTTTAAATATTTAAACATTGTAGTATGTTTAGAAATATCATTATTAACTTCCCGAAGAAGTTTACGTTTTCGCCAAAAAAATTCCATTTACTAATGGTAAGTATTATTTTTGTCCAAATTGGTACAAATTTGTATACTACATGTACTCCAATTTGCGAGTAAAAGTTCAATTTTTTATCGACGTTTTGCAGAAATGGTTGCATCGATTCCAAAAATTTAAAGTCATTGGTTTATATTTTCACCAAAAATCTTGAGTCAATTTTGAAAATTCCAAAACTGTTCAAAAGATATCAGTTAGGACGAGTTTGGCTCAAATTGTAAAAAGATTGTATACATGTATGTGAGCCAAAATTTAACCTTTTTTCGATGTTTTCGCAAAAATGTCTGCATCGATTCCAAAAATTTAAAGCCAATGGTTCACCTTTTCATTCAAAATTCTGAACCAATTTTGAAAATTCAAAAACTGTTCGAAACATATTAGTTAAGGATAGTTTGGCCAAAATGGTAGATAAGATTGTATGTATGTATGTGAGCCAAAATTTGACCTTTTATCGACATTATACAGAAGTGGTTGCATCGATTCCACAAATTCAAAGCCAATGGTTCACATTTTCATCAAAAATTTTGAACCAGTTTTGAAACTTCAGAAATTGTGCTAAATATATCAGTTGGGAATCTTTTGACAAACATCGCCCGAGCCGCTTTTTTGTAATTGAAATTATTTTCTGTCAATCGATTATAGATTTCAAACTTAAGAATATTATAATAATATTGCGTGTAGATATGAGAACTTGATAGAACCGCATCCATATAATTTACGTCATCGAATGAAACATACAATTTAAATATACCGAGCGAGCAATAAAAACAGAACCATTAATAAAATTTATATATAGCATATAAACAGAAATATGCATTATTTAAAACATTTGAATTAATTATATTTTCACGTGGATAATTGATTTATTTACTATTGTGCATCGCAGAATTATTCAAATAAAGAAATAATTGTTTTTTCTTTAATATCTGCATCTATTCCATTAGGAACATCAGCAAATTTTTGGTAGTTTTTAGAATGTCTAAATCGAATGCCAATCCAGTTATTGGACGAACAGGTATGATGGTAAATAAAAAATATAATCATTTTATAAATATATATTATTTTCTTACCATTTGAAGACCAGTCAGGTATTTCTTCCACCACAAGTATTTCTGGTACTGAGGTCCAAGTGCGGCAAGCAAGTAGTAAGAATACATGATAATGTGGACGAAAGTATTCAAGAAGCCAAAAAAGGTGCTGTGACCACCTAAAATGTCATTTGTTTATTGATTTTTTTTTATCTAAGATTTATATCAATCCTCATAATCGAGAAGGAAATTGACCACCACCAACAAAAACAAGTTAAATAGGAATCTTATAAGTTTCCCATTATTTTACATAAAATTTGAAAAATCTCCAAAGTATCCCAAAACGTAGTAAATGGTTCTGAGAAACATCAAATCAAAAATTTTATGTATGATGTGATGGAGAGTGATTATAATTCTGTCAACCTTTTTTTATATAATTTACACTTTTCAAGTATACAATAATCTAAGGAATTAAGGATCAATATAAATTATCATTTACATGAGATCATTTAATAATTAAAATATCATTAAAGAAATAAACTAATATAACGAGTATCTTAAGATCTTTTACGTATGCAAATCATTGGAAATATTTATACACCTGACGTGTACATAAGGAAAACTAGTTTCTTGTTGCAAACTCATTGTTCTTGATTTGTATAAATGTATATCATATTATTAAACTTGCTTTGGCATTTCTGTAAAGCAATTAAAAAATAACCTAGATTTGTTGCTAGAAAATTTTATTCTGAGAAATTCTATATAATAATACTGGATTTAAATAGAACAGGTGTAGTACTAAAATTCCAGAGCATGGTAAAAGAATTAGGGACAAAACATTTTACTATGTAACTAAAAGTGTAAAAAGTTATTTGTAAATAGAAAATCATATCCCTTCTAAAAAAAAGTTAGAATATCTTTTACTAAATCTTGAGGAATAAATTTAAATTCAAGTTCTAAAAAGTTGAAATTCTGCATTGAATTATGCAGTTATATAAAGGAAAATTGAATTAATTAATAATAAATGAAATGAGTAAGTAAAATAAATAATAATTAAACTGTAAAATTTAATATATAATATTGTTTAAGTTATGTAGAGTATCAAAATACCATTATTACTCATTACATTTTTGGTTATTTTTTTTTTTTGTATTCGACGACTCATTCATTTTTATTTATTATTTTTTTTATTTTCGATTTTACTCATTCTATTAAAATTAAAAATGTTTTACTTTGACTATCTATACTATAAGACAGTTATATTGTAAGTTTAACCGAGATTTGCAAGTTTATCAGTAAAATATTTTTGTATATAATATTATGTATTTTTTTGTCTAATAATTATCAAGGATACAATGGTTTGCATATTTATTGTTGATCTCGTGGGCTTCTAAGTCATATTAGTTATTTCATAAAAATTTCAACTTTTCCAATATATTTAAAAGCAACTACTATCTCTACATGAATTACTAGAATTTCAAAGCTGATATTTGAAATAAAAGTATAAAACTGAACAAAAAAATTCTTGGATGATCAGAATCATGAAATCGTGCCTAAAATATTGATTATTTGTATTTCTTTTCCTTTAACCTATTTTTTACTTATATATTTTTAAAGCTAATTCTGCTTGAATTACAAGTATTTCAAAGACCTTATTTTGAGTACCAGAAGTTTATCCATTAACAAAAAGGATAATTTAACAAAAATTCTCGGGTGATCATAATCATAAAATCGTGCATAAAATATTGACTATTTGTATTTTTTTCCTTTAACCTATTTTACAAATATATTTTTAAAGCTTAATCTGCTTGAGTTACGAGTATTTCAAAGACCTTGTGATTACCAGAAGTATATCCTTTAACAAAAAGGATGATTTAATAAAAATTCTTAGGTGATCACAATCATGAAAACGTGCCTAAAATATTGACTATTTGTATTTCTTTTCCTTCAATTTATTTTTTACCAATATATTAAAGGTAACTTTGCTTGTTTTTCGTATTTCAGTATTTCAAAGACCATATTTTGAGTACCCAAAGTATATCATTTAACAAAGTTTGTCTAGGATGATCATGATCATATAATTAATCTTAAGTTATTCACTACTTTTTATTCTTTCTTAATTATTTTTTTTTTGCTTAATTTTAATTTAAAATTAAATTACCTGGAGTGAATTTGACGCCAAACCAGACGGACATTGGCATACATCCGTGATGAATAACGTGGAGTGTCGACACATGTTTGTTTTTCTTACGCAAAACGAAGAAAATCTGAAAAATTAATTTAAAAAATTAGAAAATAAAATATTTATTACTGAATCTATACCTAATTTATTGAATTCATACGTTTTGTTCTATATCAAGATCAGCATCATTCAGTGGAAAAAAATAAGAGGTAACAATCAGAAAATTAAAAAAAAGTTGTATATTTGTCATAATAACAGAGAATAATTCATAGAAAACAACATAGTGAATTTAAAAAAACTAGAAAATATTTCAACCAAAATCCATTTTATAAAATCATTGAAAACCATTACGACTTTTAGTTAGTTGACTACCTTGTCAACTAAATTTCCAAATTTCAACAATAATTACTTATTATCCAATAGAAAAAAACAGATTTTCAATGTTTAAATTATTTATTGCTTGGACTATGTTATTTATTTAGTAAAAGTTTAAAAATATATTCTGTAAGTAATAGTTTTATAAATCATCAAATTATCAAATTTTGTAATTCTGTGATCTTTACCTTTTTGTTTTTCACTTAATGATGGTCTTGATATTGATTAAAACGTATCATTATAATAAATTTGTATTTTTAATTACCACGTTTTTTATTTGGTCATGTCTTATGTGTTATATATTGTATGATACATCATTTACTTTGATTATTTGTAAAAAAAATCATACATAATAAATAATTTACGATATATTCTAGGTCAATAATATTGAATATAAAGATTAAATTTAGTAAGAAAATTTTACCGTATCGAAAAACTCCGTGAACTTCGAGAAGTAGTACCACCAACAGCCATGCACCATCTGCAAAAATCAATAACATTAATATGTATGTATAGATTTATAATTATTTCTGTGGATTTTTGATTTACTTAAGTTACTAACTTTCTGACACATAAACAATATAATTTCCAAATGCTTCCAAATTGATAAAAAAAATCTGAAAGTTTGAGCTCATAATATTAACTATAAAATAGTCCACACTCCAACCAAAACGTTTTGATTCTTCTTCCTAAGTAAATACTTATTTTATAAAATATATAATTTTTTTGTTGTAATATTTTTATTTATGATCAAAATAAGGAAATACAATATTATTATCAAAATTTTGATTCACTTGTTCAATTCTAAAAAAACAAATAGAATTTTATCCATGTTGCATCCACTTTGGTTGAAGTGCGGACTAACTTAAAAAGTTAAGAGCTAAAACTTCCAGGTAATTTTTTTCATCAATTTGGAAGGATTTGAGCACCTGGAAACAGAAAAATAGGAAAATACCCATATTGAGGACCACCCTAATATAAATATAATGTATAATTGTGAATTTGGTGTAGTCATATGTAAAAATAGTGTTACACTTGGTTTTGACTTATTTTTTATTCAGTTTTGCAAATCCTGAGATGAACAACAATCCATGGTATGAAGATATAATATGTACACTACATCATGTAATAAAATAATAAAATTGTTATGTTTATATAAATATATATCACAAATCACATTCCAACTTAAATAACACTTTTTACAAAAGAATATGTGTGCCATCAGCAGACTAACTGAAGATCCCCATTATTAGACTTTATTAATATATTATATTTTTCAACCTCTTTGTTTCCCTCATAATTATGATCTCAAAAGTGGTAATAATAATTCACAAGCCTTTCACCATGATTTATGATCATCTTTCAAAATTTGCACCATCACTATTATAGATCTCGTTTATTACTAGGCCGTTATTAAGAGACAAAGTACACATTGTTAGATACATTTTTTTTACTACTATGATCTTTTGATGACAGACACATTTCTAACAAAATACGTGAAAAAATCGATTTACTATTAGACTTGTTTATACCAATATTTTATATCAATGATCTGGCCAGTGCACGTGTACTTTTATAAATAATTCATAATCCTCGCGTAAAATTTTCCACTAGTTTTTGCAAAAAATTCCACATTGAATAAAATTAATCGGATCTTCTAAATAACGTTCCGCTATTATAAATATAAAGTTGTCATTAAATAAGATAACTCCGCCTTATGAATTATTAATGCGTACTTGAATGAATTCGAAATGATTTTGGATGTAAATAAAGTAGAACATCAGATACCGATTTGGCGTAAATAGAAAAAACAGCGATATGTTATATTATATTTGTTTATTTGTCGATTTTTTAATTAATTAATTTTATTACAGTAATCATAAAAAATATAGTGATGATGTCATAGATTATTTATTCTCAGTACATCTGGAATGCCGGTTAGATAATCCGGTTTAGAGTGAGTGTTTACAATCAAGTATTGCATTTCATAAGTTGACAAAAAAATTTATCACTATTATAATAAAATAGTAAAAACTAAGGTAATTAACATAACGTATTACAAATGCAAAAGAATTTATTGAACAGTCATTATTGTGTGACAGATACATGTCGTTATATAGTTTATGTATGTTTTTTTACACGCTCCGGCGGCAAAGTACATACAAATTCCGGAATTCGCGAGTAGAAAGGGTTAATATGATCTTGAAAGATAATAGAATATTTATGTCCCGATTGGACATGTAAATCGTCCTTCATGATATTGTAATAGCTACTTTCCCGACGCAGTAAACAGAACTGTGCAGGTGCGTCATTTTTGACAGGTTATATATAATTGATCTATTATAAAATTTCAGTTTGCGTAATTATAATCGACTAATTTTGATATGTAAATATCTTAATTAACTTCCCGTAGGGTAGCGACCAAAAATCGAAATTGAACATTTTTCATTGAAAGTTTCTGAACATTTTGGCATACCTTAGAAAAAATTAATGTGTTTGTATGCATGTATGTATAGATACAATTTTTTGTCCACGTTTTCGGGCGCACGAATCAACCGATTTGAATAGCTCCAAAAACATTCGATTCCTATTGTTAGAGAGATGTGCAGTTACGGAGCACATAATGCAGAAAATAGAAATCGAGTTTTCAAAGAACGGAACGATCCAAAAAGCATTCAATTTGTAATAATGGTGAGAAGTGGTGATTAGTTGTTGGCAAAGGCAGGTCCAGCCGTTTCGGATATACGGAGCCAAAATGGCAGTGTTTGAGAGAAATAAGCATCCGATTTAAATAATTCAAAAAACTGTCTGCTTGTGTTGACAAAACGATTGTTTTTGTAAAAAAATATTATTGTACTGTCCAGCTCATAGCAATCAATATTGTATTTCTGAATTTCTCAACATCAGTATTTATTATAATAAATTACTGTTTTATACTGAAGAGTGTATTATACAGGTGTATTCATTTTCTGCCATCAGATGTTCCATATTAATTACATTTAACTTTATAATTGTATATAAGCCATTAATTCTACTAAAAAGCATATATCATTACTTGTAGCCATAAATGTAAATATATTGTCCCCCCACAGAATCTAATAAACCCGGAAAAAACATAAATTTTGTTTAAGTACTATAAATAATAAGACCGCATAGTAATTATATTGTAACCGCAAATATTTATGTAATACTTTTTTACGTCGATGGACTTCCAGATTTAATCAAAATCTTAATTGCGCGGGTTTGAAAATTCATAGAAATAATAAAATTCATAGTTAAACGACTGATTATTTTTATGTAATTATTAAATGCATTTGACTTGATTAATTAATCATTTTTTATTAAAACTACAATGTAACAGGTATAATTTTAAAGCGATCATAATTACTGTTTGGTAAAAACAATGTATTTTGCATGCCCAAAGATCTCACTTTTTGCAAAGATTAGTAATGGATTTCATGCTAAATTTAAAATTAAGTTTAAAAATTAATTAGTTTAAAAATTCGTAGAAACAGTTAAGTGATTTATTATTCTTATGTAAATAAAATTATGCATTAAGTGATGTCTGCCTTTGAGTAAATCAATTAATAGTTTTTTGATAAGACTACAATGTAAAATGTATAATTTTAATGTAGTCATAATTACTATTTGGTACAAAAATAAAATAATTTATATATAAAAATATCCCACTATTTTACAAAAATTGGTAGTAAAATTTATACCAATTATATAAAAACAAAATTTTTTATCATAAATCCACGTAAACTACATGTAATTGCAATTAATACTATGCAAGCACTGCGTAGCTATGACAATATTGTGCAAGAAGGTTTACATGTCCAATCGAGATAAAAAAATATCACATTGAAAAACGCCTGTTACTACTTACCGCTGTTACATTAAACCCTATATGTATATGAGAGCCAAAATTTTGTCCAAATTTTCTCAAAAAACCGCTGCACCGATTTAAAAATTGTAAAAGCTATTGTATGATACGAAATGAATGACCACGGGCATATATTTATAAAAAGAAAAAAGTGCAATTTTTTCTGGCATTGGCTTGTAGGAGTTTGAACCTTGCTCTAAGAATTGACATTTAATTTTAAAGATCACGAAATAAAATTATTAAAAGAATACTAGAGGCGCCAAAGTATGTCCCAAATTGGCTGATCCATCAGGACTCTAATATGTTCACGATAGGAGAAGAAACTAAAAGACATGCATCTAAGTACAAAACCAGACTAGAAGATCGTCTCCAACTCGCCAAAAACTTGCTCTCATCAAATATACCCAGAAGACCAAAAACTTGCTCTTATCAAATATACCCAGAAGACTAACAAACTAGCAAAAGAACTAACCTTTTAGATTTAGTAAATAACATATCATGTAAAGTTATTATTATTGTTCTGTAATTTTATCTCATCCATTTTCAAACGTATAATGACTACCACTGGGTAGCATTTTAAAATATCATATTTACGCAATTGTCACCAAAAATACTGAATGTAATTTAAAGGCAGATTGTAATTATATGAAGTTGAAAAATAAAAATAAAAATCATATTTAAAAAAATATCGACTACGTTGCATCGACGTACCCAGATGCAACTTGGACGTAACCTTTTCGTAACCTAATTTAACTTTATAGCTAATTTTGAAAAAACATCTTTTGTCAATATGTCCGCAGCATTGATATCACTTCAAATATTCAATTGCACTATATAAAAATTAAAAAATTGATTATCTATCAAACTTTTCTCCATCTCCGTTGGATTTCGCAACTTACCCGCATGGCTTCGGGCGACCTCGAATAATCGACTGGCTGACATCGGAAGCTGTAGGTCGTCAGCCATCCGGAAGCACATGACTGAAAATTAATTAAGGAAACTGTTAGATTGCAATTCACAGTAAAATATATGGAAAGCATGATTCAGTTGTACATAATTTATTTTTATATGATTCTATTACAAAATATCAATTTCATTGTTAGATTTTACATATGGTTATTAGATGCCATAAATTAGACATAGTACAGTTTTATTGCCTAATATAATTTTCAATTTGAATTAGTCATATTGTATTAGTCTTTCCTGACCGGGTACGGTAGTGACAATTGTCAAGTTTGAAAAGTTTCCATTATTCTGTACCATTAATTCTCTTTTTGCCCAGCTAACTAAAAAATTAACAAAATTATAGCTGATCAAAAAAAGTGGCACAACCGCTCCCAGTCTCCCTTACTATTGCAAAATTCATGATCAAAAATTAATCGAGAAAACTGCTGCTGAATTGCATATTATATTGATTGTTATGACATATATTTCATATGACATATTATTAATATTTTTTATTTGATTTTATCACAATTTCTCTATTTTATAAAAATATTTAGTAATTCATTTGTTCGTTTTAACACGTGATTTAATTTTTATAATTATTTATAAATTAGTATTTTTGCAATAATAACAACTAAAAATGTGAAAATTGATGAAATGATCAGCATTATATGAGAACAAGAGCAAGTGTTTTACTCTATTGATGAGTATTTGAGTTATACCTTTTAGTAAATTATTCTGTAAAAATTAGAATAAGATTTTAAGTGAACATTTATTTGTTTAAATTATATTTCATTTTTATATTGTATGTACTATTATCTATTAATTTAAGTTATGTACCATATAATATCTATAATTGAACAATTGTGTTGTTTAAATATAAATAAATATAAATAAAAATAAATATAAATATATATGTTTTAAACTACCATCTGTCTATTTCATGAAGATATTGAATAATTGTGTAAAAAATTTACTCCATGATAAAGACATGGATCAATTCCAAAAATATTTATTTCTTTTTTTTTAATTTGCAAACTTACGAGTTTGTTCCCATGGTTTTAAACTTTTTTTTACTCATTTCGAGCCAGACCCAGAAACTGGTTTTGGGGAATCACTTGTCAAACTAATCATTAATCTAAACAGTTTTTACATGTTGGTTTCTTTTCTGACCTATTATTATACCTACATACTGCAAATTAAGACATAACTTTAATTATGATACACAGAAAAAGCTACTGATTTATATTTTTATACTACTCCTGCTTGATATTAAGTTGCGAAGTGGATTTTGATTATAGATCCTTATAGTTGCCAGGCCAGGGACCCTGTTACCGAGTTACAGATACCCCGATATTTATATTTTTTTATTACTCCTGCTTGATATTAGGTTGCAAAGTGGATTTTGATCTTAGATCCTTATGATTGCTAGGCCAGAAAACTTGTCACCACGTTATAAATACCCCAATATTTATTTAAGTACAAGAGTAGAGGGAAAAGCTATTTTCTCTTATTGTTGGTTCATATTTTTATTGAATTGATTTTTATTTATAATTATGAAAGGATATTACTACTGCTTAATATTTTATGCAGATTTTGATTGCAGAACCTTGTGGTTGCAAAACCAGAGCACCACAAGCACCCGGATATTTATAACATATTCTAAAAATATTGATATTAAATATGCATGATGTATTCAAAGAGGTCTTAAGTTCGATCCTCGATCTGTACTTGATATCGTGCAGTTGGTGTTGGAGTTTAACTCAACTCATGGGCCTGCCCCCTAGGCGCTACTACTTTCTACTACTACTCTTTTCAGCCTCGTCTTTTTTTCGACAAGGCTTGCCAAAAAATTAGCTCTTTTGTTTATTTTTTGCTGGAGCAGAACAAACAGGTTTTAAGGGGAGGTGCATCCATTTTATCTCTTTCTTTGTAGAGATATTGAGCTACGGCCACACTCCACTGTTGTTCTGCTACAAACTTAGAGCATAAGAATTAATTTTAATTCTTTTGTTTTAAATAAAGCTTCGAAAAATTCGCGTGTAACTAAATTAGTTCAGGACTACGCAGCGAGTATTAGAAACTATATGCACTCTAGCGACATCTAACGAACGACTATGTAACGATTATTGATTTGAATGTTTGATTTGTTAATAATATGTAAAACTATGAAGCAAGTGGACGTATTGGCGTATTATACTGAAACAATAATAAAATAATGATAATGTAAAATAATATTATTATAAAATAATAGTGATAACAATTAATATATAATAATATATATAAAGCTTGAGGTTTTTTCAGATGGTGAAAGATATATAATAAAATGTTTTTGGGCATCCATCTAATAATTTAAAAAAATTAAAAATACTTTCATTATAAAGCAACGTCGAATCAAGGTGATGGCTGGTTATGTATCTTTTTCTCTCTACTTTCAAATATTGTTGTTAAAAATTCTTAACTCTACTTGTTTTTGAGATATCAGTAGTGGAACATTTTACCCATGAACCTTTAAGCTTATAATTAAAAATGTCAATTACTATGCCTGAAATATGAAATTTTTTTACGAAACTAAAAGAAACGCACGACACGACAATAAAATAAATAAAAGGAATAATTAACTCTTAACAAGGTCAATGAGTTTTTCTATTTCAATGATCTGTGACAGGTCGATATTTTAGGTCAGTTTTTGCAAACTTATACTGACCTTAAAGCATTAAATGTATAAATTATAAATCTCTCATAAAAACAACTTTGATATTTAATGAAATTTCATCTGCTAACATTTGGAGTAACTTTTTATACACAAAGAATGATTAGCAGAAACTAGATTATACTAGTATAATCAATACAGGTGAATTAAAATATTAACATGGCATCAAAATCGATGTTAATTTTTTTTTAAAAAAAATAGCAAGTTTACGAGTTTGCTCACATTGTTTTAAACTTTTTTTTACCGATTCAAGAACAGGTTTTGGAATTTGGGGAATCACCTGTCACTATAATAATTTATCTTAACTGTTTCTAAATGTTTGTTGGTGTAGTTTTTTTGTAATAAATCAGCTTTAATCATATCTTATGCGTTAAATTTAAAATTTAGGTGATGTAAATTAGCATATTTCTATATATAAAAGTCGATGCATTATTGGTTTTAGGTACAAGAACAAAAGAAACTTGCATAAGTTATTTCAATTGACATCGTTACATACTAATAACAAGTTTCAGATTATTATTCTTCGAACGAGCGCATTTCTGATGCAATTTAATTGCAAATGGTAGAGTATTACACGATAGTTCCAAGTTAACATTGGTTTTATTATTATTACTTTTATGCAAACATAATATAAAACATTTTTAATAAAGCTACATTTAAAAATAATAAATTTCTCAATAGAGAAGATATTTGAAGTCAAACTCAAACATGTAATATAAAAGATATATGTGAATGCAAAAACAATGTACTGAATATTACTAATTTCTTCAAATTAAATTCATTGAAATAAAATTTTACTTCTGATTTTGCATAAAAATATACATGTATTAAATATGTATTTCTAAAACTTATTGCTTATTATGTACTATTTGTTTATCTGACTTTCAAGTTGAAAGAAATTGATTTAAATTATTCACATGTATTCGTACGCATATTTTATTATATTTTTTTAATTCTCCGGAACATCATGTTCATAAATTTTATGAACCATTTTATAGTTATTAACTAGTTTTTCTGGTTAGTTGGATAATACTTGTATGAAGCAGTTTTGTCATAAATCAAATCAAATCGAAGTTAATAATATTTTCAATTTACACATAAATATATTAATGTGTAGATGAGAAAAAAATCATGGAAGAAATGCAATGTGAACTCTCATTGCTATTTTTTGATGAAGTTCACATAATTTGCGTTTGTATTAAAGTGGTATTGAAATTTATATCTGAATAATTTATTTTGCAATAAGTTACATCATGACTTTTATGTAAAAAAGTATAGAGAATCAATAAAATTATAATATTCAAATTGAAAACTATATTTTTTATTGAAGATTCATTGTTGATATTTTAGTTTTATAACTTATGGGGATCAAGCTTTTGCATGATTTTTAAAATCAAAATATTCATATTTTTAGTTACTAATTAAACAATCAGTGAATAATCATATTTTTCATTTTTAATGATGACTTTATTATACTTTTTTATTCTAATGTAAAAATTTTAATGGTTTCAATTAAATTTCAATTTGATACGAAATAGAATTAGTAAAATTCAACTGATTACAAGATATAGACAAGAAAAATTATTTAATTTATTCAGACGTAAAAGTTTTTATAGATTTTCAGCTATAGGGTTCCAGGTTCGATAACCACCACGGCCAACCTGATATCATGCAGTAGCAATATCAGATTTTACTTGGAAATACCGATCTCTATATGTTTTCAAGTGACAAAACTCTTCTATGACATCAAATTGAAAAAATATAGAAAAATTCTAATAATAATAATATACCAAATATCGATAGGTATACTTTCTAAATGGTTACCTATAGCTATTTAGTTCTGATTGCTATTTATAAGAAACAAAATATTCAAAAAACGCTTTATGTCACCATTGAAATTATTGGAAATTATTGGACATAAGCCTGATTGCTGTTAATATGAAAATAAGTACATACGTACCAATTTTTTTTTTGCATTTGAATTCAATAAATTGACTGAGATATGAGAGATTGTGCAAAATATCTTTACAAAGCATTCAAATCGCTTTTTATGAGAAAATTAAAATTATTGAATCTAAAGCCTAATATCAGAGTATATCATTTCTGTGCATGTATATTAATTAAATCAAACTACGATACTTTTGTTCATCAATATAAATAATGTTATATTCTAATTCCTATTGACAAAGACATTTCCTTTGTACATTTAACTGCGACGGAGTCATCACTAACAGTGATTAATGCAAATTGATGCAATAAGTAAGTATAGAACGAAACTGAATGCAAAGAGCACATTTTCACAGCATGGTCAATGCTACAAAT